GAGAGAGAGAGAGAGAGAGAGAGAGAGAGAGAGAGAGAGAGAGAGAGAGAGATTTATAGAGAAGCAGGGAAGGAGAGAGGGAGAAAGTCTACGTTTCGATAGCGCGCGATTGCAGAATTAATAATGAACGAGAAATAATCGACTTAATCGAAATACGACACTCAGACTTGTTGCACTTTTCCAAGAGCGGCGCGGATATACACACCTACATATGAAAGCCAATAGCCGAGGGCTCGTCCAATGGGATACGCGACTGGCTGCTGTGCTAGCTCGGCGCGTACGTCGCGCACCCGGACGTAACCTCGTGGCATTTCTCGCCGTGCACTCGTACACTTTGAGCACCATGACATAGATATCCGCTGAAGGGCGCGCGCTCGGTCGCTTGCTGGTATGTGTGTGTGTGTGTGTGTGTACGCGCAGTGCACCGTCGGAAATTCGCACGCAAAACGCTGAAAAGTTTTTCACGCTTTTTCGACATCTAACCACACGTGGCAGTGAATGTCTCCGCTTTTCGCGGAGAGCGTGTGACGTAGAAGCGCGAGCTTTCACGGGGAATGTAGACACATCTCGCACAAATATTTTCATAAATCTTCCGGCGGCTGTTATCCAATAAAGGAATAATCTCTCGTGGGGAAGCGTGTGCAAGAAAAAGGAAATGGATAAGGAGGGAAAGAATCGAAGACCGTTAGTTTCGCGGAGAGATTTATATCGGTCGAGTTCTCGTAAAAAGGCGCGAATCACGTTGGCTCGTTCGTGTAATTCGCTAATGCATCGTTCGCTCTCACTCGCGCTAGCTCGGCATAGAGAGAGAGAGAGAGAGATAGAGAATCGTCGTAAAAATCTCGTCGTCTGGTGATTGTTGCAGTGTGGCTCCCTGGAGATCGGCGAGGAACGCCAGCGTCGGGTCGCTATGATGGAGTCGCTCTGCCAGGTGAACGGCAGTAAAACCAACGGCATCAGTAATGGCGGTCTCAACGAGGCCAACAACAATAACAACAACAACAACAACAACATCAACAATAACAATAACAACAACAGCAGCAGCAACGCCAGCGACTGTGCCGATCCGCAGCAGAGGCTGGCGGTGTTGAGCTTCGAGCAGGTGCGCCGTCTGAACGATGTGATGAACGAGGTCGTGAGCATCCACGGCCGGGGCAACTTTCCCACCTTGGAGGTCAGATTGAGGGACCTCGTGACGGTGGTGCGTAGCAAGCTGGAGACCGATCCGAGCAACGGAGGCGCTGGCATGAGGGTACGCGACATCCGACTGAACGGCGGCGCCGCCTCTCACGTGCTGGCCACCGAGTCCCAGCCTTACAACGACCTGGACCTTATCTTCGCGGTGGAGCTGTCCAGCGGCCGCAACTACGACAAGGTCAAGGCCGCGGTGCTCGGCTCCTTGTTCGACTTGCTGCCGGAGGGCGTGAGCCGCAAGCGCATCACCACGTGCAGCTTGAAGGAGGCCTACGTGAGCAAGATGGTGAAGGTGAACAACGACGGCGACCGGTGGTCCCTGATCTCCCTCGGTAACTCCCGGGGCCACAGGAACGTCGAGCTCAAGTTCGTCGACTCGATGAGGCGGCAGTTCGAGTTCTCGGTCGACTCGTTCCAGATCGTCCTCGACTCCCTGCTGCTGTTCTACGAGTGCAGCAAGTTACCGATCGGCGAGAATTTCTACCCCACGGTGGTGGGCGAGTCCGTGTACGGTGACTTTCAGGAGGCGCTTTATCACCTGCACAAGAAGCTCATCTCGACGAGGCACCCCGAGGAGATACGCGGCGGCGGCCTGCTCAAGTACTGCAATCTGCTCGTGAAAATGTACAAACCGTCGCAGCCGGACTACATCAAGACCCTCGAGCGGTACATGTGCTCGAGATTCTTCATCGACTTCCCGGACATAGGGCAGCAGCGCGCCAAACTCGAGAACTACCTGTGGAATCACTTCGTCGGACCCGAGGAGGAGACTCTCAAGTACCAGTACCTGATGTTGCTGCACAGCGTCGTCGAGGAGTCCACCGTGTGCCTGATGGGCCACGAGCGACGGCAGACGCTCGCCCTGATCGAGAACCTCGCGTATCAGGTGCTCTGCCAGGAGCAGCAGCAACGGCTGACGAGTCATCAGCAGGCGCCTCAGGCGCCGCCAACCACCTACGTCTACGCCAACGGCTACTACTATACGCCCGTCATACCCGCGGCGTGCTACACGTGCACCTGCAACTGGATGGCGTGCTCGTCGTGATGCGACGGCATCGACGCCGTGGAAGCCGCCGTCGCCGCTACCGCCGCTATCGTCACCACCAATACCACCGCCGCCGCAACCATTACCACCACCACCACCACCACTACCACTATCACCACCACCGCCACCACTACAAGTACCACCACTTACAACAACAACAACAACACCTCCACCAACGTCACTACCACCACCGAAATAGGAGCTACCAGGAGAAGAAAGAGAAGAGGTGGAACGAGCGTCCTCAGTTGTTGCGAGCCCATTCACATGGATCCCTATGTCCATTGGTGTCGCAGGTACGAGTGTGGAGTGTATTACCTTTGCGCCTACGGCCCTTGCTGCGCCCTCGATGAACCGGCGGACGTCTGCTGCACTTGCAGTTCACCAGAGGACACCGAAAGCGCAGAGAGCGAGGAGGACGAAAGCGACGATTCGCTCGTGTCAGACATCGAGCGGTCCAGACTCCTTCTCAGTTGACGTTCGTCGAACTCGTCGTCGGGCTGATCCGAGCTCGGATACAAAGCGGGAAAATCATCTTCGCCGCCGAGGATCACCGGCAGGCGGAGTAATCGAGTCGCGGATCGACCATCGGGCGGCGTTCGGACGGTGAACACGTCATGTCGACGATAGAAGAGGGAAGCAGAGAAAGATAGAGAGAGAGAGAGAGAGAGAGGTAGATCAAACTCTCACCTCTCTCTCTTCTTCGTTCGCGATTTCACAGATGCCCCTGGTGACGGGCGCGGTAGCGACGATCGATGTTTAGGACCAAAATGGTACCCGGCTGCGGTTGCGGTGAAACGACCAAAAGACTACAAGACTCCAGAAACAATGTGTTGTGCCTAAAAATAAAAAGAAAAAAAAGAAGGATCGCGGAAGGAGACGCGCGGGGAAGAGACTAAGGAGGAGAGACATATATATATATATATATATATATATATATATATATATATATACTCGTAGTCATACACACAGACACACACACATATATATATATATACAAACAGGACGGCGACACACGTTCCTCCGACGCGTCCAAACAGCGTATGTTCAGCGAGAAACCACGGCGAAGCGAAAAATTGCCGTCGCTTTTAATTGACTAAGCGTGCGAGTTTTGTGGACAACCCTTCCGGGAAGAGAGCGCAAGACGACGGATCGAGACGGGAAGGACGGATTCTCTCGACACAATACCGTGCGCCGAGAAGAAGACGGAAGCGACGAGGAGGGGGACACGAGAGGCGTCGGGAAGCTTCGCGACGGAAGAAAGGAACGAGAGAGAGAGAGAGAACGCGTGTGCGTCGATATGAAAAAATACGGGCGACACGGGATCACGAGATCCCGGCTGCTTCGAAATCGCCCGGATTTTTTCCCTCGTTTTCTCGTCTCGCTTCTCCCGCGGAGACGATCGCGCGCCGATGTATAGCAGCGAACCAGGGAGAGGGAGGAATGACGAAAAAAAAGAGAAAGAAAACGGGGGTTTCGGCGAGGGAGGAAAGGTAATTGTGCGAGCGCGTGGCGTCTTGCGCTACGACAAAAAAATATATAAATATATATATATAAAAATATATTTAAATATATATATATAGATATATGTATAAATCTATGTATAAATAATTAATGTGTGGCTGTGAACACATTTCATTTAGATACTGTGTATAAGGCGATAAGATTCCAAATTCGAGATGATAATTATGATTGTGAGAACGGCCGACACGGTCGAGAGAAGTGCGCGGATCGAGAGGGAAACGCTTCCGAGCCGTATCTTTCTTTCATTTCAGTAGAATCGTAGGCGAGCGTATACACATACACGCACATACACACACGCGCGCATATATATATATATACATAAAGAGAAGGGAATGTTTGATCAGCCGCGCTTTTTCTCCTTTCTTTCTTTTTTGTTTTTAACAAAAAAAACGTCAGATTAGCAAAAAGAAGGACGCGGTTTCGAGAAGGAGAAGAGACACTGTTTAACATCACGGTTGTGCGACAACGCGAGAATGAGAGCAAACATCGAGGTATCATATTTTTCGACAAAACGTAACATTTATACCGCGTTCACGAGCGCAGTGAGTTCAAGCGCTTCATCTCTCTCTCGCTTCAGAGTTACCGTAAATTGTGTTGTTTCCCACAATGCAGTGTATGTGCGTGTGTGTGTCATTTAAACGAAATTGCTACTCGTCAACGACACCCCACGCGCGAAAAGATCATTTCGGGTCGTGAAATTTCTCTTCTGCAGCCTGAAACTCGCTTGACGCGTGCGCGCACGGGGGACAATAGGATGAGACGGCAGAGAGGGGGTGAAAGAAGGAGTCATAGAAGACATAGAAAGAGACAAATGGAGACGGGGGCGGACTTGCCTCGAGACTACCCTCCTCGTTCCCTGACAAGAGCGGGAGCAGCGGATCTAGGACGGGCAGGGAAGGGGGAAGGTAAACTCGGGGGGTGACCACACACCCCGAGAAGGTCGCTTCCGAAGAAGGACGCGAGAACGCGTTGTTAGCATGTAACATCACGATCGACCGATGTGCTGCTCCTCGTCGTGCAATGGGCCCTCTCTCTCTCTCTCTCTTTTTTTTCCTTTGCGCGGCGGCTCTTGCATAACTTTCTTTATTAGATACTGTAATTATTTAAATAACCCTCGCGAGCGAGAGTGTCAGCGACGACAGCAACAACGGCGCATTGCTTCGCGCACTCGCGAGTACTTCGGCTCTCGTTTCAATGTTCCAGTGTGCATCCGCGTGTGTATATGCGTCTTATACATACGCGGAGGTACCGTCAGAGAGAGAGAGAGAGAGAGAGAGAGAGAGAGAGAGAGAGAGACGTGGTCGCGGCGGCACTCTCCTTTCGGTCCATCCGCGCACATTTAGTGTGACATGCGCACATATATATATATACACGTGTACACGCGCATTATTACGTACGCATTTGCTCCTCTATCTTGTCCTGTCCCTCTCCCCATCTGTCACTCTCTTCCTTTACCATTCTTTCTGCTTCTTTCGTTATTATTCTGTACTCCCGCGCGTATGTGTGTTGTGTCTGTGTGTGTGTATGTGTGCGCGTGCGTGCGTGCGTGCGTGTGTCTCAGTTTACGTGCGTATCCGTATCGACTGGTGACCCCGTTAGTTAGCTCGCTCGCTAACAGGCCTCGTTCGCCTCGCTCGCTCACTCTTACTTTCAGTTCTCGAGCGAAAGTAAAGGCCTAATAAAAAGCCCGCAAACTGGTTTTTCAGGTATATCGCGCGTTAATGCTAAGGAGATCCAGCCGCTGGCGCAGCCGGAGTGCCTCTATTGCCGGCCTATCGCCTATCGCTCTACTACTACTACTACTACTACTACTACTACCACTACCATCACCACCACCACCGCTGTTCCCCCGCCGTTTCCTCCCCCTCAACCTTCCTGGACGCCCCTCGTATCTCTCGCCAAGCTCTGACGCTCGATCGCGCCGCGACAACCTATTCCGCGGCCCTCGTCTCGCCTCGCTTCGCCTCGTCTCACCTCAACTCGCGAGTTTCCGCAAACGCGAACTTCTACGAGCATCTCTTCTCCACGGCTACGACGGTCGATGCACGAGCGTTGATCTATAGGATGCTCGAGAATCGTCGTCGTCGTCGTCGTGACGAATTTCCGCGGTTCGATTCGGCGCTTGATAAAATATCCCGAGTAGAACACGCCGCGTTATTAACGTAGAACGAAGGAATGAGAGAAAGAGAAAAATATGTACGATAGAAATGGTTAATACCGTTGTGCGAACGATCGATTCCCGCGACGAGAAAGGGAGGTCGTTGATGCCAGAAATCTGTATTTCAATTTAACCGCACCGCGATTCACGATCGTCAAAAACGTTTCAGAACTTTGATGCTGGAAGCCGGGAAAGTCTCTCTCGGCGGGGACATGCTCCTCCTCTCCCGGTATTTTCTGTTGCCGCGAAAATACGCGCAGCATTTGCGTCGCGAGAGAGGCGTATCGTGCCACATCGCCCATCGATATTTTCGTTGTTTTCCTATTCGCTATCTCGTTGTGTTGTCGCTGTTGTTATTATTAAAAACCCGTTATTATTATGTACCCGGTAATAATTTCGCTGGTACAGCGAAAGTTTTTCGTCACACGTGTCGTCCTCTAGTGCCTTTCGTCGCGCGAGGCTCGTGTCGTCCGCCTCACGGAGAGTATCGCGATTAATGATTACACGATTATATATGTCCGGCGAGCGTTCAACGAAAACTGCTATTGTTCACGCGAAGTGATTCAATGCGTTCCTTCGTCGCGCGGCTGGAAAAAAAAAAAGAAATAGAGTACTTACACGGCGTCCAGCTGGCATCGTTCTCGCGAGCAGCGCGTCCACGTGCCTCCTCGTCTACGAGCCGCCGGGCTTTAATAACAGCCTTAACTGCAAGTTTAACATTGCAACGTGCCTCCCTCCCTGTCCTCCCTCCTCCTTCGCGTCGCGTACCGAGCCGCGCTCGAGCACGGCGCTCATCGATCGGCAAATTAATCCACGATGAAGTCCAAGATGAGTCGCCGATCGGCCGTGGAATTGTGCCTTCCGCTGCCTATAGACGGCAGCGAGAGAAAGAGATAGAATGTGTTCTGCTCTTTTCCCTCGTTTGCTTTCCATCGTTCTTTTTTCTTCCCTTTTCCTTTTTGTTCATTTTTTTTAAGTGGCGACGCGAACGAAATCGCGACTAACGATTCGACGGGAGGCATTACTGTTCGTTCCTATGTTCCTTCTCCCCCCCCCCCCC